TCATTTGAGGGTTGTCTTTAATGGTGATGAAGATTCGTGGTTCGGATTGTTTTAGAGGCTAGCTCACCTAAGGTGTTGGTGACAGATGTGCCAGTCCAATGGATTGGAGCTCCAGGGTGGATCTTCGGACGACCAGACGACGACGCCGAGATGGCTCAGTTGCGACAACGCGCAAGCGCCAACTTGCCCAAGACTGCCGCCTAGTACAATACAGCTTCAGTACACTACAGTACAAGCACTACAAGTACCTAACCTACTAAGTACGGTAGACTACTGCCTTACAGAACAAGTACCTACCTACAATAGAGGCTAGGGCAGGTACAGCTATCCCTGTCTGACGCAGGGACCACCTGGAGCTCATACGAGCCAATTGATGCCAGTTACATGTGGTGCGTCTCAAACATTGTGATACCAATGTACCTGATTGCTGAACCAAGTTTCATTCATTGCTTCCAAAGTTTCTACTTCTAGGCCAATTAATGTTGGTAAACGTAAACAAACTTCAGGGATTTCGCCATGTATCGAGGAAGCCTTGCATAGTTCCGTATATTGCCAGGCAATATCATAACCTCCTTGTTAGGCCAGGGACATAAGTAAGTAGGTAGGCATCCGTATTCTGTGAAGTGGAGTGTACGTACTGGACTAGTACACGTCAGCGTAAAAGTGCTGCGCCCAGTGTTAGGTATGTACATATGTACACCGGGCTGATGGCATTTTAAAAAAGAAGCATCGTCAACCACGCTACCACTTGCACCTACTTCTGATGATCATGAACAAAACAGAACTTGGTGCTCATAAAAACCTAGGCGCCAAGTGATATTAGATTTCCTTTCTCGGCCAGCAGTTCATTCATTGGTCATTGAGCGCGAGCAGCACCTGCTTTGTGTTACAGGGATCCCCGCGAAGGGATCCAGCAATCGGCAGATTTAGGGGGGCATTCGTCTTCTGTATGAACACATTGCCCGCCAACAATAGTTATACGAGACCACGTGATGTATGCATCTAACAATTGGATGTCTTTCTTTTCACGTACGAACTGCGAGTGAAATCGTAAGGATAGCTGCGCCGTTCTCATTGCCATTATATTCCCCCAGACGTAAGTATAGATTCGCAATTCTTCCCCTGCTGCAACGTTCGTCATTTCGGGGAAGAGCATCATCCGGCCAGCGGGCAGTATCGACCATAGAAGAAAGAGTGCTCGACAACATGTTCCCACTAGGAAATACCATGCAGGCATTCAGAGTTCTCACTCTCATATTATTTAAACCAATACCAGCCTTCAAGATATCTAAGTCCCATGGCTTTACGAGCTATTTTGCCTACCTACCTATATAATTCTTCCAAATTCTCCTCTTCTCGCCGACATGCACCATTCTCTTACCTCCTGCGCCAAATATTCGCACACAACACCGGCATACGATCGGCTAACAACTGTTTCGTAGAGAGTTCATAGTCGTGTCACTCCGTCTAGGCTGCTTGATGAGTTAATTCTTCAGCGCTGGATGCGGGCAAACCTATTGATAAGCTGTAAACTTATATCAAAATGGTCTCGTTTCCTGAGGGGTGGCCGATGTCACCGATAGCAACATGGATTACAATCGTTGCTGTAACCTATGCCCTGGTGTATCAATACTCGAAACTGAAGTTGGACGCTAAAGAGCCACCAGTCATTGCTTCTAGTGTTCCCTTCATTGGGCACATCTTAGGAATGGCTTTGCGCGGGGGGAAGTATATCAAAGGCCTAGGGTGTGAATGCTCTCTAAATCCCACTCAAGCTTTGCGTCTGACACCAATCTTAGGACACGGAATAAACACCTCCCCATCTTCACATTGCCAGTGCCGAAATCTCGCATTTACATCGTGACAGAGCCGTCCCTTGCCGCGGCAGTCCAGCGGGCTTCTAAAGCTTTGTCTTTTACGCCTATCATCCCTGAAGTCACTGAACGAGTTCTCGGGTTGGATCAGGCTACTATGGAAATCACCCGAAAGAACTTGGACCCCGGCCCCGGAGACGAGCGCGGATTCCTAGCCGATATTCAAGACATGGTCTATGCATTCTTCGGTCCAGGAAGCTACCTAAACGAAATTAGCTTGGATGCAGCTCGAGAGTTAAGAAATGAAGTACTTGCTTTCGACGCCTCTCAAGAAGGAGCGCCTAGTCCTAAACAGCCTATTGATCTACTTGCATGGGTCCGACATCTGGTTACTTTGTCGACAGCAAAATACTTCTACGGCCCTCATAACCCTATTGCCCTGGATCCGAAGCTTGAAGGGTATTTCTGGGATTTCGATCACGGCCTCGGCAAATTGCTAATGAATGTATTCCCTTCTGTGACCGCAGGCAAAGCTTATAGGGGTAGAGAGCTGCTGGTGAAAGCACTCGAGAAGTACTTGGAGAACGGGCATCATACGACAGGCTCAAAGATAGTACAGAAACGTGTGGAAATCGCCCTTCAGCATGGCTGGACACTTCGCGCCACTGCACGCTCCGAACTTTCATTCTTATTTGCTGGCATAGTTAACGCGACCACGTCTACCTTTTGGATTCTTCTTCAAATATTCGCAGATCCCCAACTTCTGTCTACTGTCCGCGAGGAAATCACAAAGATCCTGAGAACAGATGAGAATGACGACAAAGACGCATATCATGGGAAGTACAGACTTAATATCACGGATCTCAAGGACCTCTGCCCTGTGCTTATCGCGGTGTATCGAGAATGCCTGCGCTTGGGATCCGACAACTACTCCACTCGAATGGTCAAAGAAGACATCTTACTAGCAGACCGTTACTTCTTGAAGAAAGGCGCTGTCGTTCAGATTGCGGGAGGTGTCATACATGCCGATGAGTCAATATGGGGTGACGGTGTTGAAAGCTTTAACCCCGGTCGTTTCTTAGAACTCAAGCAAGAATCTGGAAACTCGAGGCAGAACCAGATTCATCCTGCTGCTTTCCGTGCTTTCGGGGGCGGCAAGACGCTTTGTCCCGGCCGCCACTTTGCTATGAATGAGATACTGAGCCTCGTGTCCTTGGTTGTATTGGTGTTCGACGTCGAGGCTCTTGATGGGGGGAGAATCAAAGTTCCGAGAAAGAATGACGGCGTCCTGCCCGTTCATATTCTTGAACCCATCTCCCCCGTCAAGGTTCTGATTTCGAAGCGCCAAGACAAAACTGCGGATGTCTGTTCGAACATCGAATTCGATTTGTGATTTCGACCAATTCACTTGTGACGTTATGGTCATAGGGGGGGTGCTTCGATATCCGCAGGATATGGCGGCGGACATGCGTATATGATAGGGGGAGGTGGCTCCCTATCGGTTACGACTGTTTTCTTCGATATGATGCTTCTCAGGGGCATAAACTGAGAAGCCACTTGACATGGATTATAGCAGTAAACCAAATATAGAACAGCTCACCAACTCCATCGATATGCTCAAAAGAGCGTGTCGCTCTTAAAGCTAAAGAGGTTTCTAGTCTGTCCGTTGTCTCGCTCAACAGCGAAGCCAAGGTGCGTGGCGTAGCATCAAAGAAAAGATACTGTACTACGAGCCATCCGAAGGAATAGCCCGGTACAAGAATTAATTAATAAATAAGTTATTAGTTATCAACTTTGTTTTGATACGATCTAATTATTTATAAAAGGCTAGATTGTGCTGTTCCCTGCTCCTGGGTCTTGACCTCCATTCTATGCCCGGGCCGAGCCTATTCGTATCTATACTCGTGCGTGCGAATCAAAGAGGTACGTATGGAGGACTCGGACGGCGGGAAACCTCGTTAATGATAACTCTGGAATAGCCGCTGTTTAATACCCTGCTTCAACAGGCGCAAACGACAGGTTTGTCCAACACCGAGACGACGCTTAATATCTTAGATACCCATTTCCTGGCCGGTGTTAGTCGGTATGAAGAGCTTCCCCAACCTCTTTTGGTCGAGTGAGAAGGAGGACGAGGAGACTGGCTAAAGCTCCAGAGCCCCCTTGATCGCATAGATGATTATTAGTTGAATTTGAAAACTCTTCCAAGCTCTTGAAATCAAGCCGTTGTAACAGGTAATGACAATTGCCCAAGGTAGTCAGGAACGCCACCTTGGCAGCTAGAAATTTCCTATTGCACCCTAGAAATGGTAAGATGAGAACTCCCTGCCTGAGTAAATCGCAAGCTTTATACTAAGACTAAATACTCGGGACGTAACTTGCTGCGCCGCAGAAGTTGACTTTTGAAGGGTATCTATCACATGAAGCAATATCATAATATAATTAACCATTTGGCTAGCTCGGATGGTGGTTACGACTTGAAAAAAACAAGATTTCCTTTCGCTAATTTTCCTTTTCCCTCTATTATTCTAGAGTTGGCCCCTTACTTAATGGTCTCCCGTAATACAACTCTGTTCGAAGTTCCGGGAGAACACGTATCCTTGAGTTACCGTAACAACATGCCTGTCGATCCTGTCCGTAAGGATGCTGTGGCAGGTACGACGGACAGTGTAAAAGATTACCTACTCTTCACGGTAGATGCCTAAGGTTAGTCGCTTGCACTATCTCTTCTACAACAACATTAATACACACCCACACTCGTTACAATGCCTGTTAGGAAGCAATATTGAACACTCGGCACGAAGGGTAAAACTGCAACCGACGTCGAACACAGTAGTTAAACATTCCAGCCCTTTCCTGATCTCCTTCCTTTCAAACTTACGTCTCCAAATTAACGACGACGTTTTCCTAGATCCAGGCTTAGTCTGATTAAAGGGGTGCGGTGACCCTAAACCAACAGAGCTCAGGACAAACTTGTTTAGTAGCCTGAAGTTCATTGCAATGTCTTGCGTTTACACATAAATGTTCAAGAATTAGGATGAATTTCTCCAGGACAAGAAAGCTAGATATCCACTAAAAGAAAAAAAGATAAAAAAGGAAATAAAGCCCTTGCTTGCACTAACTGCTATTCCATCTATTTATTATATATAATCAGTGCTTTATTAAACAACAATAAAAAATCAAAAGGTTTGCGGTGAGTGCGGATCGAACGCACGGCCTTCAGATTATATGATTGAAGTTGGACTTCAGTCTGACGCTCTCCCAGCTGAGCTATCCCCGCAATTGTTGTTCAATGTCTTCCTATTTTTGATAGTCTCTCTTGATGTACCACCACTTCGGCGCTTCACAGCATTTTCCATCCCAATGACGGTAACATTCCCATCACCGCATGCTCAGCAGATCGCAGCATTGGCTCTTATAAGGTATACCCTCGCATTCCCTTCGATAAAGCCTTCTGTAGCCATCAAAGCGAACCCTCATCGCAGCGCTCACCTGTCACCCGAGGCTTCCACTGCAATGCGTCCAAAATCGCGTTTTGGAATTTGACATCGTTGGTTATATATACCTTCAGTCACGGGCGGTTTCAACATGATCCTTGAAATACCACTAAGTCGCCGTTAAGCGAGGATGTCAGACAAGTGCCTATTCGCGGCATTGGAACAGCACCATCAGGTATGAGCTGCGTCTATGGGCCAAGCTCGGATTGAGCACGCCCCGCATCCCTTGTTGTTGGGGCGTGAAATAGGAATTGAATTCTCTCGTTAAGCTGTCTCCGTCCTCTCGGAATCGCGGCTGCAGCAGTTAATACTATTCCTCTCAAAACCATCACCATTCAAACAGTCACCCATGAAGCAAAAGAGAGGAAAGAGCGGGTTCTAGCAGAGAGACTGGACCAGTTTTATGCAATTGAGCCTCGTATATCAGGCGAAGCTGACAGTCACCTAGCCACACCGTCAGGGCCTGTTGACGCCGAGGTGGCTATAGTCCTCCATTGTTAGACGAAAGAGGGAGACATAGGCGCTTTCTGGGACCATGATAACCAGACAATCCAACTTCTCGAGAGAAAAGGCTTTAGCAACCAGTTTACCTTTGGCTGTGATTGGCACTGCCGCAGTGAAGACAAATTTCGTGGCCGGGGCCGCTGCTCAGCTACCAAATGGAGCCTCGGAGTTAAACGACTCCATGATGACCTCTCCTCCGATCTTTTAGGCATCCTAAATCTCCAATTTCTCTTAGTTGGCGGCTCTTGTACTAAGGATCATTATCGCAAGATTTTACCAACTGAAAGGCAGTCCTTACGCATCCCCATTGCGAAGGACGAGATCCTTGAAATTGATCTAGAGTTCACAGGGAAATCGCTACAACGCATCGTCATGTATGTTGACCATCCGTCTGCTCTCTTTATGCACCCGAGCAGTGCCGGCCTTTCCTCGAGACGTTTTGATTCCGCTAGCAACTTCCTCTTATGGCTGATGGGGAGATCAGATCGTACAAACCAGTCGTCCTCGACGGCTTGTCTCTTACGAGCTCGCAACAGTCATGGCGAAACAACGCATCAGCTCCGATCACGCAACTCTGGCGACATGTGGATTTATAAAAGCAAAATGAGGGTCCTTTAATGATGGAAGAATACGATTCGTCATTTCTGTCCTGGGCAGCGAACTATCTGGGAGCAGATCTCGAAGCCCTCTAGAAGGCCGACGACGAGCCTACAATTTGCGGATGGCGAATGCAATTGCCTTGCCAGATAACACTCACGAGACCCAAGACAACGATGCTCCTCTCAGAGCACGACAGCCTGATCTGATGGAAGCCGAGCAGACCATAGGAAACGAGACCAATGCGTCTTCCTCCCACGCAGCCATTTCAATTACAATGCAACCACAAACAAGGCGAATCCAAGAGTCGAGAAAAGCAGGCGGGAACACATGTGCACAGCGACGCTTTCCTACTTTCGAGGAACATCGAACGCAGACCAATCGTACACTCAACATCAATAGATATGGAATCACTGTGCGAGAGCTTTGGGATGGTGAACGGGTTAAGGTACAAACGAACAGTGTTGTACGGATCTTGGTCAGATCAGATCGTGCTGCATTGCAGTTCCGTATGAGCAAGAGCAGCAAAGATCAAAGCTTCCAGCGACTCTGCCTGCTACCATACACTTTGAAAATAGCCACGTAGCGCTGATGGTCAGTGGTGAGGTAGTTTACCGGAAGTCGAACAGCAGCTTGAAGGCGGGAAAGGATGGCGAGGAATGGTGGCTGCAGATTCAGAAAGAGATCAAAACGATGAGACGTCTATCATAGCCATTAGTCAAGAAGTCTTATTGCAGTGAGAATCCCCCTGTCTGTTGTCTTCCTGTGCGGACGGCTAAACCCCGGTGTCATTTTTGCACTCCCTAATACCTAATTAGCAGCCCACTAACTCAAGAACCACCAATCTGCGGGGATAGCTCAGCTGGGAGAGCGTCAGACTGAAGTCCAACTTCAATCATATAATCTGAAGGCCGTGCGTTCGATCCGCACTCACCGCAGTATTTTTTCGTCGTTTTTTTATTTCATAATGCTTTTGCAGTCTTGATAGCAAAATAGGGGGTGCTACCCGAGCAAGGCTCTTAATTATATACAGTAGTAATTACTACGAAAATAAACTTAATGAACGTCTCCGCCCAATGGGGCGAATGCGGTATGGGGAACTCCAATTTTGGATACCAAAACGTCCAGTCCTGGAGGCTTTTATACCAACACTTCAACATTTGTATGCACCCAATAGGACCGCCATACCGCCACAACGAGTCAGCAGACGCCTTCGTACCGAGTGTTCAATATTGCTCCAGCCACGGCGATACGCTTCGCCTAGCAGTGAGCACGTATGCTCGCGCGATGACCACAGAACAGAAGGGAAACTAGAACTCTATGATGGCCGATAGCGCAAGCAGTCCAGCCAGCATAATCCAGCCAAAGAGAAATGCGAACGTCTATCGGCGAGAACGTTCCCCTTGTTGGCGGGAGCCCCAGTTACTTTGACAACCTCAAGGGTATGTATGTATGCACTCGGATGTCGTTGCGTTGCATGTTCGCATGAGCATTGGCCAACTTGGTACGTTGGACCGTCCTGAGACAGAGCTGGCCATGTGATGCTGGTCTCCATAACGCCAATCGAGGCAAATTGGGTCTTCAGTGTGTCCGAAGCAGTTAAGACAGCAATTGCCGTCAGCGATGGGCTCTGAGAGGAGGAGTCGGCTCCTAGACGACGTGACCGGCCAGCACCACCATAGTGTCACCCCAATTAGCTGATAGACGTGTAGACTCAGCGGAACATCGAGGAAGTTGATCAGAGCGGATAAAGGTAGGATACCGGCTAGATCTTGGGCCCAAAGATGTGACACAAGTAGCGATTGTGTCTAGCCCAAACATGCTCCCTTCAACTTGTCTGATAGTCTCGAGGTACTGAAATATGTAACGCGTTTTTGTGCCGGGCGCAGGGCTTACAAACGAATGCAAATACTTGCCGCATTAATCGGTGTGGGTTGGTGTTGAAATGAGAGGCTAAAAAAACAAAAGCTATCTGAATTCCTTTTGGCAGCCTTCAATACACAAATCCAGACAATGAAGCAGCAATCAAATTGCCTCCAGTGTCCCCGATGGTTTTATTCCATCAGCTAATGAAAATGCATTTTCTGGTTTGCGTTGGTCTGGGGAAAGGTCCGATTTCCGCTCTAGTGAGGGGGCAAGCAAGGGTGTGCCGGTACTCAATCCAAGGTAAGTAAGGCTGGAGCTGGGTTTGCCAAAGGTAGATATATATTATTTTGTAAATATATCCTTCCGATCATTATGGTAGCAAATGTGTCTAACCGTGCTAGACTACTTGCCGCAGCCGCCGGTGCTATACTTCGCGGAGCCAAACGGCGAACGAAAATACCCATATAAGCATCATTCGGATGGTACCACGGATTTTAACGAGAGCAGACCTGTATTCGCCAAATTGACGGTCGACACCCCACTGATCCGGCCGTCGCGATGGACAGACGATGCAGACCCTGGGGGCTCGTCCCACGGGTGCGAAAATGCGGAGCGGGCTGATCCTCTGTTCTTGCGACTATCCAACCCTCATGACCTGGCAGAGTTCGTGACACATCGCGGGGGCCCCCTAATGGAGCTCATCGGGCACCTACACAGTAAATGGGAAGAATGCTACGGAAATTCACAGCTCATGGGTATGAGGCAGTCCTGGGGCTTTGATGAAGAACCTAGCTGCACGGGTCGCTACGTCTTCGCAGCCGTCTATTTCGTTGCTCACCTCGCGCAGATCTATGCCTGCAAGAACCTGGAATGCGAGCGGCGGCGACAAGCTCTAGACGCTGCTGCGCCTGCGTGCGGCTGGCCGGCCTTCAGGACAGTGGTTGTGGCCGTGTTATCCTGCTGGATGCCTAACTTTGTCTACATCCTCCAAGAGGTGATTGGCTTCGCGTCGATTGACTCTGACCGTTTCGTATGTCTCGACATGGATCGCATGGTCGATGTCTGTCGGTGGGGGGCCCGTGTCACTTATGGTGCGACATTCAACGAACAAGCACGAACAAAACAAGGGCCACGAGCACAACCACCGGGAGATGGCTCTCTGGTTGGCCATGGACCACAGCAATCTGCCTACACGCCAACTTCCTGGCGTATGAGCACTGAAAATCCATCGGTATGCGGGTACGGCGAGAAATACATGGCGATCTCGCACGTCTGGTCGGACGGCACTGGCGCAGGCATGAAGAGCCCCGGTCAGGTAAACCGTTGCCTCCTAGAATACTTCCTTGACCTCGCCAAAGGGGAAGGGTGTGATGGGCTATGGTGGGACACTATCTCCATCCCCACTGAGAAAGAAGCTCGAAGGATGGCAATTAACTGCATGCTGAAAAACTACGAAGAGGCTACTGTCACCCTCGTTCACGACCAAGAGTTAGTCAACTTCGAGTGGAAGGACGACGGCAGCCCTGATTCTTTCAGCATGCTTTACTAGGGGCTGGACCGCTGCCAAGCTATTCGCCTCGAGAAATCACGCCATTAAAGTAGTGTTCAAAAACCCCGATCCTGCAGGGCCATCACTCGTCAAGGATCTCGATCACGATATTCTAGCCTGGGATCCCAAGAGCATCGATGCTAACCTTCTTGCGGACTCGACCGCCGTGGAAGGAGTCGGTCTGTACAGGGCAAAGCATATGCTGGATGATGCCAACAAGGTCCCGAAGCTCGGCCACTTCATTGCGACGGATATTATTCGTCGCCT